CACCTCTGGGAGGAAACCTCAACCTGTGTTGTGTCTGCGGGAGCCGGGCTTCCCGGCTCTGCTGTTCAACTTTTATATTGTAGCTAAGTTGGTACTTTTGATATTTCTAAGTTTTTTTTTTTTTTTTTAAACATTTATGTAGAACACCACATAATTGCAGAAAAGATAATAGTCACATACCCTAGGGCTTGGTGTACACTTATGTTAAAAGTACAGCTTTTATTGGCAACTAAAGTAATAACCTTTCCATGTCAAATTGCTTTAAATTAAACTTAAAAAAAAAATGCTGGCTGATACCCACACTTAGTAATTGTCAAACATTAGCATAATGTGGAATACTAAAGCTGCCTAAATCTTGGGTTTAAAAATAATTATTTACTTAGGTAAATTCTCTATTCAAAAGCATAATATTAGATTTTTTTTTTTTTTTAACACAGTCTCCTCGATGTATATGTTAAAATGCAGACCTATGCTTGACATGGAAGTGAGACTGAATGTTACTGTGGCCTCTGGGAGAAAAAAGAGGATTTTATACCTTTAGCTCATCAATCCATCATTGGTCACCCTGAAAGAAATCACAGAAACACAGAATGGTAGGCGTTGGAAGGGAGATCACCTAGTCCAACCCCCTGCTAAAGCAGGGTCACCCAGAGCATGTTGCCCAGGACCGCATCTAGGCAGGTTTTTAATATCTCCAGGGAAGGAGACCGCACATCCTCCCTGGACAGTCTGTTCCAGGGCTCTGGCACTCTCAGAGAAGATTTTCCTCGTGTTCAGGTGGAACTTCATGTGTTCCAGTTTGTGCCTGTTGCCCCTTGTCCTGTCGCTGGGCACCACTGAAAAGAGCCTGGCCCCATCCCCTTGACACTCACCCTTTAGATATTTCTAAGTGTTGATAAGGTCTCCTCTTCTCCAGGCTAAAGAGCCCCAGATCTCAGCCTTTCCTCGTAAGATGTGTTAAGGTGACATCTCCAAAGGCATAGGTGACATCTGATGACCCAAGACCAGTGACCTAGAATACCTGCTGATTGCACCCCATGCTGCAGCCCTGAAGTGCACACAGAAGGTTTCTCATGCTAGAGGACATCTGGGAGACAGGTGTCTCAAGTACGTAGGCAAAGCCAAGGGCAGCAGGTCGGTAAAGTGTTCCATACAGGTGCATTTTTCTTACCTGTTTCAGCACGTAACTGGAGCAAATGCAGTGGAGACCATTCAAATTTGCAGTGCAAAGCAGGTGAGGAAGCCGTGCACTGAGATGTGGCTCTTGGCACTCTCTGCTGCACGTGGAGGAAACTGGACCTACCAGGTGCCATGAGGACACAAATCCTCATGGTTTTCTGCTTTTTGGGAGGCTTTCTTGCTGAGGACTTCCATCCCTTTGCTAGGGCTTCCCTGTGGAGTCCATCACAACACTATGAGGCCACCAGTTCTCCCTCAGAAACACACCAATGTTTTGCTGGAAGTTCAGCAAAACCCATTTTGGAACATTTTCTTAAAGAAATCAGCAGTTCCCTTGGGGCAAATATTTTGTGGCCAATTCCTGCACCTTTGGCCAGCAAGGTAGAAAGAAATTGCCTTTCCCACTCCTTTAGGGAGCAACAAGCTCTGGGAGGCTCTTACTGCCTTTCTGGTCAACCGATGGAGGAACAGAAGGGAGCTGCAGCACTTGGGAACAAGAGGTTTATGATCTTCAAGAGAGAGAGTTCAACAGTTGTTGGGAGGAGAAATGCAAGGAGCTGAGGACTGAAAATTGGGTACCTTTCCCAGCCTTGCCTGATACCATATGTGTTTTACACTATGATTATAAATCTGGTTATACATTAATTTCCACACTGTTTTATTTCTTTAAAGCAGGG